GCTTCTGTATGCAAGTTGGTCATAAACGCAGCAACTAGCTCAGGAAGCCCTGCCTTTTTTGCTTATAAAACTGGCTAGTCATGAACTGGATTCCTCATCTCTCCAATGCTACCTTGCCCTATTTATTCCTTTGCATCTTCATCATTGCATCTCGTCACTGGGACTGCATCAGTGCCAGCTGTATTAACTGAGTGCGTTCATACTAGCTAGCTTTGGTTTGGAGCAGATGCTGCACAGCGTACTGCAGATATTTGAGGGATACTATGCACAAAATCCAACATTAAAAGAACACCCAAGCTGCAGAGTCAAGCACTCAAGCGTTAAGAAACACTAGCATTAAGGTTTCCCATACAGCTTTAATCCAGCGCCCTTGGGCATATGTCATGCTAACACCCACAAATCCCAATCAGCCCTCCCCAACACCTCCCTTGCCACGGCAGCAGAGAGCAAGATAAGAAGTGGCTGCTACAGGGGTTCAAGCCAACAACTATCACTGTTCTCCCTCTGCAGGATGACAGCTCTTCAGATGGGATGAGATTCACTTCTCTCAGCTAATGACACATTGCGGAGTTTATTCAGCAAGTTCCAGCAGGTACACATACACGCATTATTTGCCCTGTGTACAGTTCCCAAATACAATCCGATTAATTGCTACGCCCAGAGGATATAAAATTTTTCCCAAGAAACCCTCCACCCATGCTTGGCGAGAGATGTAGTACCAGACAGTCCCCTTCTTGATGGCCAGAAATCAATATGCTCATTTTTTTCTGCACAACACCCTGCCCTTGCGTTAACTCAGCTGGGTGTGGGCTTTATTAAGTGCACAGTGCTGACAGCAAGGCCTAGCATGCTACGGAGGAAGTGGTGAGTAAGGATGGGAACTTTACCAAAAGGACAGGGAAATGAGGTTCGAGTTGGGCTGGGAGAACAGAAGCTGAACGGTGCCGTTTCTGCATGGCAGCTCAACACCAATCACTCTGGCTTTTACCCACTCTCATTCCAGGATACCAATTTCTAAAAGTCTGAAAAAGATTCAAACTATGCCAGGGGGACAGCACTTGTAGCCCTCGGGGCAGCAGCGGTGGGGGCAAATACACAATTCTGAACTGAAAGCAAGCCCCTAGCTGCACCCCACTGCCCCCCAGCTACATCAAAAAGGAGGGATGGGAGGAACAGAATTCAGCCAGTCACGGCTAAATCCCAGAGCACACAGGATGGCTCATTTCTCCCATAAAGCCTCCAGGAAGAGGAGGAAGGCATTAACAATAGCTTACTGTCACTGAGTCTATTCCAGAGTGAGTTACGGCAGCTTCCAGGGACCTTGCCCACACGTGGGGGGGAGCTGGGGCATAGCATATACTAGGAGCTGAAGAAAGGGAAGCAGAGGATCTTTGTTAGGTCTATACATCCTGGACCATTCCAGCAGAAAAGGCTAGATAGCAATTTTCAGTTGTGCCACGTTTGTTTCAAGAAAAGGTTTCAAATGCACACGAAGCAAGTCCTCAGTGTCCACCTACAGTCCCCCTCGTCATACAGCCCAAGTCTCTCCCATGCATTTTTAGAAAAGAATAAGAAAGAAGATCTCCTCCCACCCCCTTCCCGAGCAGTCTTCAAGACAAACAGCTTAAAATGAGTTTACAGCTTTAGGCAAAATATAGTCAATCAATAATATTTTTAAAAGATTAGGTAGAGAGGAAAGGGAAATCAGAAGAGAGGGGTAAGCAGAAGAGTTCTGCATTACATTCAGAGCAGTGAGACCTCTAGCCTCTATATTTTCAAACAGAAAATGTGATGGTTTTAGCCCATTTGCAGGAAAAGGCTGGTCTGCATTACACTGCTCAAGCGTCCTTATTACTAAGACACCTGCTCTTAGACAAAAAAACAGTTAATACACAGGGCTCTGAACACCAGGAGAGATGTTGACCTGGACCCAAAAGAGCAAGAAACCAGAGCAGAAGCTGTTGCCTTCTGAAGCTCTCCCCAAGGACAAAAGACATCATTCCCTGATGTGAATTTTATCAGTCAAACATAGAAGTTACTCGAGGTGACTCCCTTTGACTGTTTCGCAGCAAATTGAGCAAGCACAACATACCTGCACACTGCTATGGTGGCAAAACAGGCTTGCCAACCCTGCTCCCTTTCATACCTCGCTGTATCCTTGCACAGAACAGTCCAGGTCACCAATCTGCCAGAAAGCTGGAAGGTACTGTGAACGTGGAGCAGAGCCCCAGAAGACTAGTCAGGATCAGAAGCAGCTCTTGTGCTCAGAGGAGCAATTCTAATTTTAAAATACTCAAAAATATTCAGAAATAAAAACTCAGCAGACATGTCCAGAGCAATATACTCTAGCATTCTTGCATCACATATCTGCTATTGCTATAAACCAAGTACATATAAAGCACAAAACATCAATGCACACTTTAAGCTACGACTCCCCCCACCAAATACGGGGGGAGGGGGGGGGCAGGAAAATACATGGATTTTAGACAGGTGACAGACTGGAGACTTTTTTCTTTTAATTACATTAAACACAAAAAGGCAGTAACATCTGATAACACTATTTACACTGCCAAGAACATAAAATACTTGGGGTATTAAAACTACATTCAGCTTTAAATAAGTTCTTCAGTAAAGATGATGGAATATTTGCTCACTTGTTTTTAAATTATGTATGAGGAAGTGCTGCTGGAGGCTAAGCTAGCTTTGCAATTAGAGACGGAGCAGAAAAGCTGCCTGGTTTTCTCAGGGACTACCCCACCTCTGTGGAGTAAATGCCCTTGGCATTCTTTTTCCGAGTCAAAGCTGAAGACTAACATACCTTGCATTATACACTTTGACAAGCTAGTCTGTGGCCTGTGTAGAAAACTGGCATATCCCCCACCCCCCTGAAACGGACAAGATGCAAAGGGAGAGGGTCCTCTAGTTCAAGGACCAGTACTCATTCATCCAAAACTTAACTCCTCCAGGGTGGTACACCGGTGGAGAATAAGAAAGGTTATTAGTCAAAGCAACAGCATTCGAGTAACAGTTACTACTTAAATGGAGAGGTATATTTAAAAGTCAAATAATGCTTGCTTCTGCAGATCAGACTTTTTTTCAGTAAGTCACTTAGTCTCTTTCTACCTATGCAGCCCACATCATCATGAACATTCAATGCTGAAACTGCCCAATTTGGATCTTAGTAGCTTGGAAGAGAACAGCCCACTTGTCCCTGCTGTAGGCAGCAGACTGCACGCATCCAGTTTTTACTGCTCATCAGAACCAATACTTCCATATGCAAACTTGAGATGGACACTTTAACACCTTCCCTGCTGGCCACAATTAAAATGCTGAACTCCACAAAGAAAAAAAGTAGCAGTGCTAAACAGTAAAAATGAAGACAGAAGGCACATGTTTTCAGCTGAACTACTAGGGCTGGTATCCAAACTAAAACAAAAAAGTTATGATCTTCAACAAGGCTCTTTGGAATGCATTTTAATAGTGAACACAAATAATGCTTCCACAGTGCAAGATTTCATCACTGCTTCGCCACGGAAAAGACAGAATTTTAACAAAACCCAAACACAGACAGGTGACCACCACAATGGTTTCCTGAGATCCAGCTACATGCAGGAAGTCAGATTTAGTTGCTGCAAACAGACTAGCATTTCTTGCTCCAGGACAAGTAGCATTCAAGTGACCTGGAGGAGCCTGCACCAACGATTTTGGGGCATGTGCAATAATGAGTAAAGGTTACATCCCCCCAGTATCAAGGACAAGTAAGTGTACATCTCTTTACAGGGCCTAGTACCATGACAGTCACTTCTGGTGCAAAGCTCACTATTTTTTAACACTGTAGCAAGCCCAATAGATTTGCAGTCACCACTGTAATTGTGGAAACAGAGACAAAGGGGAAATAATTGGAACTAGGTGTTCAGAATGAACCAGAGATTACTCAAATGGAGAACAGGGCTGAATGGGGGAGAACTGGCCACGTTTGCATTCTCTGTAACAATTAACAGATAAACATCAGGAAAAATAAACTATCCTCAGGCAGGCTTGTGAAGATATTTTATGTTTAATACATCTGAAAAGAATGCATATACAAAGAACTTAGACATGAAAAAGCATTGGTTCAACACTAGTGAGTCTACAAGAATTAGGAGTTTGGGGAAGATGGAGAAGATTCCCCAAGTATTAAAAAATTTGATTTCTGCAAGCCAAAATATAGTTTTGGTAAAATCCCTATGAACATTGGCGTCTACATAAAGATCCGACATGTGATCATTAGACTGGAACGCTCTTTACAGGCTCCAGGGTTACTTACAAGCACAATGCAGGTAAAGGGGATTCCCTTAACTGGTCCCTATGGTGCCACACTAAATACTAGAGATCCCTCCCCCACAATTCTTTCCTACCAAAGGTCTCTCTTTCCACCCCTCCTAAAAGGATGCTTAATCATTCTGTAAGGTATGCACCCATCAGCACCACCTCCAACTCCCAGAGGCTCTGTATGGAAGTGTCTCAGCAACACCATATATGCTGGTAGCTGTAAGCTCATTCTTAAAATGTACTGGTTGGCAAAAGATCATTTGTTAAAAACCAACTGAAAATCAGCTGGACATGCTTAAAAAGGTACAATTATTTCTTATCGTGATGACATCCCACATGTGAAGATTGAGCCACATGTGGCAAACCAGGTTTGAAGTCTAATGGTGCATCCAGAAGTAAAGCAGCAGTTAATTTATTCCAAAGGTTTCACAAACTAGAAAGGACAGGGTGGAAACTTCTGACCTTCTCAGAGAAGAGTGAGGGAAGAGATACAAGGCAACTTGAGAGGAGATGCAGATAAGTGCTCTACACCCCTCTTTAGAGAAGCACCAGCTTGGGACTTCTTAGTTTCCCGAACCAGTTTGGAGGACCAAAATATGCTCATACCCAGGCTGCCATGCTCAACCAACCACAGCACAGCCTCAGAAGCTCAAAGAATCAAAGAAGTCTTGCCAACTTGGCGTAAGGGACAAGGCTTCAGTAAGACTGCCCAGAATTAGTCTGTTACAGAACAAGTCACAAGCATGCCTGGACTTTAAACAAAAATTAGAAACAGTAAACAAAACAAAACAAAGACCTAGTACTGATCAGTGTTTTCTGATAATACATAATTACTCAAAATTAACTAGTCTTTAACTGAATTGGAAGGGGCACCGGGAATGAACACTAACATTCTCATCTCACACAGGGAACGTGTGGGGGAGATGGGAGTGCAGGGCATTTGTCATTATTGCGCAAAAAACAACCCCCCAAATAACCATGTTTTAAAATTTGTATCCTTAGTCTGATTTAAACATTGCTTTTAGTATGACATCAAACACCAGCTTTGCAGAAGGGACTGCGGAGGGATGTTCATAGCAGCACACACCTGCGACTCTTCTTCGGCTCCGGAGGCTCCAGGGCAGCCAATATCGCCTCGTCAAATACATTCTTTAGGCCTTTCTGAAAAGGGGCAAAGAGAAAAAGGGGCGGTCTCATTTTCTGGATTATGAAAACAAAAGCCAAAATAAAACCAAAGGCAGAATTAAACCCCAAGGCTGATGGATAAAAAAAGTATTGCGATCTAGAATTTCCAGGAACCTATTTTGCTTAACTATGCCTTGTCCAAGTTGCGTCGCTATGGCTAGCAGTCCTTTATCTGAGTATTCGATATTCAGAACAATGTCGTAATCCTCTGAAAATTTCTCTCTGCAGACCAACATTTCACAAGAAGCAAAACAAATACTGATTTGTTTTGATTAGTTTGCTGGTAACACATTTCACATGCTAACGACAAAGCAGAAGGTACTGCATTCATTCAAATGAAACAGCTGGATCTGAACATACTTGGAGTAATGATTCCTGAACATGGCGCAGCGACACCCGTGTTTTAGATAAGATAGGAGGCAAGCATGCAAAGATGAATTGCAGTCTGCTATGTTGTGATCAAGCTCCTGCCCCCACATTAAATGCTTAGAAGCAGACAAGTCGAATTCAGAAGCTGTGCATGGTATCAGTCAAAGACTTCAAAATGAGAGAATTACAGAATGGGATACTGTACACTGTATAAATGTTAAACTGAAGCCAGCAAGTGCAAACAGGAATAAAGCCTCATCAGTCATTTATACAAACAACTCCAATTTTTAATTTCAAAAGTTAAAGGTAAACTACAATTGAAGTTTTTCCCCTTATGACAAAAGTCAGAAGCATGAAAGTAAGAAGCAGCTTTACATCTTACATTGACAAGCTTTTAAGAATCTATTATTAAAAACAAAGAAGTCTAGTAGTGTTGGTGAAAGCAGGAATTTAACATATTTTCGAAGCAGTAGCAGGTACACTGATATTTCCTTCCCCCGAGGATTGACATACTCCACTACAGCACAGACAGCCAAAGCAATAAGCAACAAAAATCTCACTGCACAAAGGAGAACCAGAAAATCCTTCACATTACAGCATTACTTGCAGGTCACCGTTTCATGTACGTTTGTCATGCAAATACAGTTAACAATAGTCACAAGTAGAAATGAGAAGTGTGCATTATTTCTTCCCAGTTGGCTCTCAGGAAAGTCAAATGATCAGGGTGTTTTTTGTTTTGTTTTTTGTTGTAGGGTTTTTTTTGTTGGTTTATTTTATTATATATTTAGGCCCTTTCCCCAATAACCTAAATTGTAAAGCTATCCACATCTGGCAACCCAAGCAGCAGAGAGTTAAGCGAGTCCAGTTCACGTTCCACGTTATCACAAATGCTTTACTGAGGAACTGCGTATACTGTTTTCAGTCCAAAAGCTAATACAGAGGTTGCTCTAAGATGGTAAGCAGAGACACAGAAGCTTTCAAATCAGGATGGTTTTATTCATTTTTAACCAGGTTTCTACAGTAGTGGGACAGAGGAAGCAGCAGCATGGAGGGAAAGGAGAAACAGTTTAGAATATACAGCACTTCCTTTTGGGCTGAGTTTCCGGAGGCTCGAGGGCAGCTAGGATAGCCTCATCAAACACATTCTTCAGACCTCTCTACAAGACAGAGGGGAGGAGAAAAAAATAGCAGCCAGGTTAGAGGATTAGAGAGAAACAAGCAGATATAAAGAGCATTCAGGACAAAAATTGGGCTGAATTCACAAATGTAACAAGCAAGTTTGCCCTGTTTTGTTATTAAAAGTGGTGAAAATTATGGTCTCCAAGATCCAGAGAGTCAGGAGACCAGGTTAGAGAGACACAGGAAAGTACAGAAGTCCAACCAGTTAGACGTACATCCAGGAAAGCAAAACGACAAACAAAGCAGGAGTTAGTGAGAATGCTGTTAAGAGAATTTCATTTCCACTTATCTGAACTATTAGAGTGAACATTTCCAACATGCTTATATGTCAAAAATGGGCAAAGGCATGGGTTTATCCCATGTCAACACAATGAACCATCAGGTACACGTTTCCAGTTTCATACTGGATACATGAACGCTTCAGATAAATGGAACTGTGTTCATGCTAGTGGTCCCTGCTCACTGCCACAGCAATTTAAATGCCAGTTTAGAATTACTGAATTGCACTGTGAATTCAGCCCCTGAATAACTGAGATCTCCAGACCGCTGGGCATATTAAAAACAGAGCTGGAAGCAGTACTTTTGCCTCATAAACCACTGTCTTCCAATATAAACATCCAGTCTTTTAAAAAAAAGAGAGGCAATGCCTTACCAGTGCTATTAACACAATGCGTAGAGAGGCCACATGCTGTGGAAGTGGCATATTTCAGTTATTCAGTCTCATTACTAAAGCAGGTATAACCACTCAGCTTACAGGAAGACAGAAAAAGGATGTTAGAATTAGAATGCTTTTATGACACTGTGGGACCCAACACCAAAGCAAGCAGTCACAGGCTAAGTTTGCAGGGGTTACACCAGAGCACAAAGCATGCATCGCGTCTGACCTAAGAACAGGGACTCTACAATACATTACCATTCCCATACAAGTCTAGCAAGTTACTTGTGGGTGCCAGAAGCGGAACCTGGCTCAGTGTATGCTAACTGGACTCGCCTAAATCTACTGTGACCTTCAGAAAACGTGAGGCCTTCAGAAATTTCAGAGGAACTAGTTTAAATAGAAGAGGGAAATAAAAAGTTAAATACTCATTCCACAGAGACCACCACTGCTTATAGGAAGAAATTGTGTCACCCAAGATGGAAAACATTTCTCCCTTCCTGGTTGGACTGGGAAAAAGCACTCTGCTGGAAAGCTCTCTCTGAAACCAGAATTCAATATGCTTTTATTAAAAGTGTGCATGAATCATGAAGAGATTGAAAAACCCATCTCTACCTGAAAATTTGTAAATCTAAAAGTTACAAGCTACATCTAAAGTTATTACAGCTGAAATACTATAGGCAAAGATACTTTCAGTTTGCTTGGTTCATCCATCAGCATTTCTCTGTTTTACTGAAGAGTTACACTTTTTGTTCAGGGGACCTTCAAAAAGATTTTTAAGAAGCACCAGAGAAGGCAAAAAGAAGAGAAGGCAAGCGACTAAGACTGCACAGTACAGTCCTGTTATGAAATAGATTGTGCCAGAGATGTCTGACAGACTGAACAGGTAGTTCACGAACAAAGCGAGCAGTGTGAAATCTTGATTCAAAAGATGTTCAGCTCTGTCCCTCTAACCATCTACTCTGGCTGGCTAAACTAGATACCCTGTTCAGGCCATTTTCACCCCGTTCATATACATGAATACTTTCCAAATCTGGTTTCATCAAAACTGTCAGCTAATTATGACGAAGTCTAACTTAACAAGCAGAAAAGAGAGACTAGTTATAAACAGCATTCAACTCTCCACTATCTTAAGTAACTAGAGCCCCGAGCGCTCCGTGAGTCTAGGCCAGCTTAAAGTCTAACTAAAAAAAGTGATAAAGGCAGCAACCGCATCAAAACGTAAGAGGCCACCTGCTTCTTCACAATCACTAACTCTTTAGTCACCCTCTCCCCTGCCCCCAAGCTTTTCTACAACTTTCATTACAGCAGCATCCAAGCAACTCTCAATCCCCTCATGATTCAGGTCGGTATTATCCAGCGGTTCCCACCACTACCCTGACAGACTGGGACACCGAGTCACCAAAGGGATTCTATGCCAGAACCAGAAACAGCCTTACTTTAATCCGGTGCTTTAAACAAACAAAGTCGCCCATCTCCAGAGGGAGGGAAAGTGGGTTAGTCAAAAACTACATGACCTCCTGCCACTGAATCATCCAGCAAATATGAAGGGGGGGGGGCATAAAGAATGGGCATATTTTATTCCTCACGCAAGTCCCAGAACTTACCTGCCTATAGTTCATTCAAAAATTTTAACAGGAACATTTTTTCCCTGCACAGAAGGAAATTTTCTACCCCACAACAGAAGACTATCAACTATACACATTGTAGTCATCTGTCACATGAAAGCACCAGGGCCACGCGTGAAAGCATTAGCCACCAATAAAGGCCAACGTGCTGGAGAGACAAGATCTCTGGAGAAGCACTTTACACGTGCAATCCACTGCAGCAGGGAACTAAAGAAAGGCTCTGGACAAGCATACCTTCCACCTGCTCTAACAAGGATGGGACAGCTGTTACCATGTAACATCTGCATGCTCCTCTAGTGATTCAAGGTAGCTAAATCACGGTAAACTTAGAGAGTAACAAAGTTAAAGTTACACTGCTTGTTACAGAAACACCCTGTTGAAACAGTTACATGGGAACAGGTAATACTGTATCCCCCGTTACTGATGAAGTTGTTACATCTGCCTACAGCCCAAAACTCCATGTTTCTCCCGACTCAAGCTTCAGTGAATTTCCTTTAAAGGGAAAAAACCCTTCATCCTTCCTAGGAAAGTCAAGTTCCTTGTGTATTTAGAATATACACATTAACTCCGCTGGTGGAAACTCACTAGGAACTCAGGCACTGCCCTGCAGACTTCCCGCGTGACTACTTTTGTTGTGCAGCTGTTTAGCTAGATCAGCTACAAGACAGGATGCAGGAAAGTAAGAAAGCGTAGAGATGCTAAAGAACAGAAACAGTGGGCAGACTTCAGGTGAATATCCAGAATCCGTTTGAGAATTGGGAGAAGACTAAAAAGTGAATATAGTTATGAGAGACTATGAAGACAGTTTAACTGGAGTAAGATACTAATTTTGGTGAACAGAAGGTATTGTGCTACATTTAGGACACATCATTTCCCCCCCCCCCCCCAAAGTCCTACAGAAAGC